AAACAGTATGTTAAGAGTGACATGGAACCACTATCACTCTCTACAAGGTCATTTAAAGAAGGCTGGAGCGGAGCATGACCTAGTAATAGGCAACCAGAGCAAAACGATGATTAAAAGGTGAGTGGAAAAAGGGAGGAATGAAAGCGAGAGTGGGGGAGGGGATATATTCAAAATGCTCGCAAATTTCTGTATTTTTATTCCTCTTTAAGGTTTAGTGTACATTAAGAGTACTTTTAATCAATGGTTTTGCCTTTGAGGGCTGCTAGATAATCTTGGCTTTTTAATACAACTCGCAGCCGAAACAGCACATTTCACTTTCTCAAATGAAATGTGCTGTTTCGGCTTCAGCACTTAAGTTGGAAAATGAAGAAGAAAGTTGCACAATGTTGAAAAAATTGTCTGCAAACTTTTATAACTGTACATTTCTACATGTCAAACAACTCTTTGATTAACGGATCTAGCTGACGACTGTCGAATCCATAGTAAATCCTCACAAGTCCTTCCTTCAAGTGTTTCAACTCCTCCAGCTTTCTTACAAGCATTTCATACACGATAAGTGCCTCATTAGCAGCATATTCGCACTCAAGCACTCTAGAATTTAAAAAAATTCAGATCCTGATTTTACCTTCCATATTATCCTTACCTTCTCAGCACTCCATAGTACGTGTTTTGTATTGCTCTAACTCTGTCCTTGTCGAGAAGGTTGGGTCTATCGGGACGAAAAATAACGAGAGCCATCAGTAATAGCATTACGCACTCGTTCGTTCGTATTTGTTCATTGAATTCGGTGAGAAATCTGCAAAAGAAAGCATGGATGCTTTTAAAGATGTTAATCGGTTGCAAAAAACTACATACCGTTTATGCTCCTCATAGTGCTGCGTTTCCTTGGTGCTTTTGAGAACATCTATTTTGACTTCCATTCCTTTGATGCCCCAAAATGCTATATATTCAAATAAACTTATTTCATGTTTATTTATCATTTGTTTATTTGATAACACCGAGGTGTGCCATATGTAGATGGA